GTCATCTCACTGCTCCCTGAAGTATATAACTTAACCTCCCTGGGACCCTTAGCCTGCATCCATAATTTGGGATCTTTTGTCTCTACAGCCCTAACTGCTCAGTGACAAGAGGTGAAAAAGAGACCTTGACTTGGGAATCTTGTTCATAGCTAGCCCTATCATAGATAGAAGTGGCCTAGGACTCACCTCTCTATACAGGATTCTTTCAGTTCACAGGCATCCCAGAATTGGAAAAATCAATAAGAAACATTTCTCTTTTGGTTGAGCAATCTTGGAAAGCCACTAGCTCTGCTGTAACCCATCAGCAAGCAATGACAGACTCTAGCTGAGGTAGTCAGTCCTCCAGAATGGCAGACCTCTTAACACACTCACAGCTGATGCAGGGAAAACTTGTGCCATGTTAGGAGAGGACTGTTGCTTTTATGTAAACCCTTCTGGCAAAGCTACCCATGATCTAGAAATACTTAAAAAGAACATAAAACACTGAAAAAAACTGAACCAGACCCCTGGTATGGACTGGGAATGTTGGGAAACCTTTTCAGTTGGCTTCCTGAGGGAATAGCCTTGTTCTTATGATCAGGCCTCCAATTTGTCATGATCCTTGTTGTTCTAGGACTCAGAATTCCTCCTCTTTAAACTTATTTTTCCTTGCTTTAAGTGGTGTCTGGATGCCACTCCACCACTGGCAACCTGCATGATGCTGGCTCAAATCACCATCTATGTTCAGCCCATGCTGACCTCTGGTGCCTCCTAAGTGAGATTGGATAGAACATAAGCAACCGAGGGGGCACTTGGGAATCAAGGGACTTGAATACACCCTGAAGTGATAAAAGGTGTTGCCCTGGTGAACCTATCATCAAAAGGGGAAAATGAGGGGCCGGCCCCCTTGCTGAGTGGTTAAGTCTGTGCACTGCACTTCAGCGGCCCAGGATTTCACCACTTCGGATCCTGGGTGCAGACATGGCACCACTCACCAGGCCACGCTGGGGCAGCATTCCACATGCCACAACTAGAAGGACCCATAACTAAAATATACAACTATGTACTGGGGGGATTAAAAACAAAAACAAAAACAAAAGAGGAAAATGATAAAAGAAAGAGATAAGAACTGGGCCAGAGTTGACGTGACGGTTACCATGACCACTTCAAGGCTGAACTATGGACAGAAACAGAAAATTGCATTTAACCTTGACCAACATGAGACAGCCAGAGAATACTGCTAAAGTTTGGTTTTTTCCCCTGTGATTAGCACATTTAGAAAGTCCGGACACAAGATAAACTGTAACTGGAAAGGGCAACCAATCCGAAACTGGACTCTGCCTTATATAGTCTGCAATTTTTGCCTTTATAAACCCAGCCACCCCAACACTGGAGGGCTCACTTATCAACTTATGAGTTGGGGTGTACATCCATAGCTTGCACAGCTTTCACAAAGCCTCTCTTTTCTTTAAAACTTTATCTTTGCCTCGTAAAGCTGCTCATTTTGGTTAACACTAGAAAAATACCTTCTTGCAACATTTGAGTTACAGAGGTGCTGATGTAACAGCAGCTGTTAGATGTCATTTTATCAATGGGTTTAAATCTGAACTGGAGATCTAATTCAAAAACAGAAATCAGAATAATAAATACAATAAATACACCTTAAATACAACAGCTGACAGTACATTTTGAAAGGGCTTTAGAATAAAAATGAGACAGGACCCAAAGTAAACTTGCCCCTCTGCAGATCAAACAGCTAAGGGACCCATTCCCCAACAAATGACCCATTGAAAACGAATTTCAATATATTGTAAACAGAAGGGACACTGGAGAAAAGATGGTCCATCTTAGGAAAGAAAAACCAAGACAAAGAAAATCCCTCAATTCAGATCAATGAGGGTCCTCTGAGGAAGGAAAAAGAGCTCAATAACCTGCCACATCCTTAAGCACTCAAGATGAATTAATGACAGATGGTCATCCTCATCAATCCGTGGAAGATACGGGTGCTACTTTTTCTACATTAAACACCTGACAGCTTTGCTCAAAATATTCTTCAGAATGGAAGGTTTCTTTTTTTTTTTATGCTTTTGGGTGAGGAAGATGGGCCCTCAGCTAACATCTGTTGCCAATCTTCCTCTTTTCTTTTTTTTCCTCCCCAAAGCCCCAGTACATAGCTGTATATTGCAGTTGTAGGTCATTCTAGTTCCTCTATGTGGGATGCTGCCACAGCATGGCTTGATGAATGGTGCGTAGGTCTGCACCCAGGATCTGAACCAGCGAACCCCAGGCCACTGAACCAGAGCACACGAACATAACCACTTGGTGACAGGGCAGGCCTCCCCAGAGTGGAAGATATTCCTAATAACTCACAGATTTCCTCCATTTCAAGCCCTTAATTGTAACACTTGGGCCCTTGACTGAAAAATTAAAAGCATTCCTCCCGCTCTGTGGTAATAGCCCTGAAAATTTAATAGAGAAAAACTTATTAAGCCACACACTGTCAAATATCCTATGAGTCAAAGGAGAAATTACAAGTTAAAATTTAAAAACATAAATATTTTGAACTAGAAGAAAATAAAAATGCTACATATAAAAATCGATGTGACGCAGCTAAATTAAATGATCAGCGAGAAATGTACAGCTTTAAACAACTTATTACAGAAAAAGAAAGACATCAATAACCTAAGCTTCCAAGTTAAGAAACCAAGAAAATAAGACTAAACTAATCCCAAAGCAATGATAAGAAAGGAAATAATGAAGATTAGGACAAAACTCACTGAAATAGAAAACAGAAACACACACACACACACAAATCAATGAGACAGAAAGTTGGTTCTTTCAAAAAAATCAAAACAATTGACAAAACTTTAGGTAAGCAAACAAAGAAAAGAAGACAACAAATTAACAAAGTCAGGAATGAAGACGCTAGTGACCATACAGACATTAAAAGCATCATAAGGGAATATTATAAACAATCTTTATCCTTCAAAATTAGTTTAGTTGAAATGGACAAATTCCTAGAAAGACACCAATTATCAAAACCGACATAAGTAGAAAAATCTATACAGGACTATACTAAGTAATGTTTATTGAAAATCTTCCCACAAGAAAATTCCAGGCTCAATTCCCTCACTAAGGAATTCTAGCAAATATTTAAAGAAGAAATATCATTAATCCTTCAAAAACTCTTTCAGAAAATAAAGGAAGATGAAATTTCCCAACTTATTCTATGAGGTCAGAATTACTGTGATAGCAAAGTTAGACAGAGATATCACAAGAAAAGAAGTCGACACCCCATTATCCCTCGTCAATATAGATGTAAAATACATTTAAAAGGTATCAGATACTGATTTGGCAACATGTACAAAGAATTATACATCCTGACCAAATGGGATTTGTCCCAGGAAATGCAAGGTTAGTTTAACATCTTAGTATCAATTGATGGAATATACCACATAAATAAAAGACAAAAAAAGCCATACCCACACAATGAGTATCTCAAGGGATGGAAAAATTGGAAGAGTCTAGAAATAGAACCACACAAATACAGACAGCTGATCTTTGAAAAAGGAGTACAGGCAATTCAATGGAGAAAGAACAGTCCTCAACAAATGGTGCTGGAATTACTGGACATCTTCATGTATAAAAAAATGATCTAGATACAGATCTTATGCCTTTCACAAATATTTGCTCAAAATGAATAACATACCTAAATGCAAAATACAAAACTACAAAACACTTAGAAGATATCATAGGAGAAAATGTAAGTGACCTCAGGTTTGGCAAGGACTTTATATAACAATGACTTTAGATACAACACCAAAAACACAATCCATAAAAGAAAAATTGGGTAATTCAGACTTGATTAAAATTAAAAACTTCTGCTCTGCAAAAGACACTGTTAAAAGAATGTGAAAAGATACTCATCATATGTCATTAGGGAATTGCAAATTAAAGCAACAATGACATACCACTACACAAGTATTTGAATGGCTAAAATCCAAAACACTGATAGGACCAAATGCTGACAAGAATATGGAGCAACAGGGGCTGGCCCTGTGGCCGAGTGGTTAAGTTCGCGCAGTCTGCTGCAGGCGGCCCAGTGTTTCATCAGTTCGAATCCTGGGCACGGACATGGCACTGCTCATGAAGCCATGCTGAGGCAGCATCCCACATGCCACAACTAGAAAGACCCACAACGAAGAATATACAACTGTGTACCAAGTGGCTTTGGGGAGAAAAAGGAAAAAAATAAAATCTTTAAAAAAAAAAGAAAAGAAAAAAAAGAATATGGAACAACAGGAACTCTCATTCACTGCTGGTGGGAATGCAAAATGGTAAAGCCACTTTGGAAGACAGTTTCTTACAAAACGAAATATACGTTTACTATATGATCCAGCAAATCATGCTCCTTGGCTTAAACCCAAACGAGTTGAAAACTTATGTGATCCACACAAAACCTACATACAAATGCATATTGCAGGTTTATTCATAATTGTCAAAACTTGGAAGCAACCAAGAGGTCCTTTAGTAGATGAAGGGATAAACAAAGTGTGCTACATCTAGACAATGGAACGTTATTCAGTGATAACTTGTACACAAATCTTCATAGCAGCTTTATTTGTAACAGCCAAAAACTGGAAACAATCCAAACATCCACTAATATCTGAATGTGTAAAAAATAATTGTGGTATATCCATATAATGGAATACTACTCAACAATACAAATGAACAAACTGTTAATACATGCAACAAGATGGGTTAATCTCAAAATAGCTATGGTTAGTAAAAAAGGCCAGAGTCCCCACTCCCCAGAAAGTATATACCATATGATTCTGTTCATATGAAATTCTAGAAAATGCTTGCTGTTGCTTGTGAGTTGTGGGAAAGGGGGTTAGAAAGAACTGGGAGGAAAGGACTATACAGGGACACAAGGAATCTTTTGGCTGTGTTGGATACGTTCATAATTTTGATTGTGGCGATGGCTTCACAGGGATACACACATGCTGAAACACAACACATTTTACACTTTACATATGTGCAGTTTATTTCATGTCAACCGAACCTCAATACAGTTAAGAACTAAATGCTCCTTATAAAAATCTGTATTTACTCTCCCTCTTGGAAAGTCACAGCTGCTAACCATTTTGATTCTATCATATCCCTCTCCCCCAATTTAGAAGGGACAGCAATGGAGTCTACATCCATTTCAATCATTAGGAATGCTGGCTGGATCAGAGAGGCCTATCCCTGGATCTCTTTTGTCGGTGCTGGGGCTCCTGCCTGTGTAATGATGGCCATGACATCAACAGCCCAGGGAGGTACAGGAATCCACAAACCTTTAGATTCTTTACTCTGACTGTGGCCTTGGCTACAGGAGATACAGATGTCTGAAGGTCCTGAGAATTTCCGTACACTCTCATCTCACACAGCCATAATCTCATGGACATGTGGAGATGCCTCCTTTAGAACAGATACACCTCCTCTCATTTGCCACAGTGATCCCCACTCCACTACCTCAGTGTTTCTGAACCAAGTATGATTCCCACCTTGCCCTACAGGCCTTCCAGTCTATGGGATTCTGGACATCAGGGACTGGTTCCTGTATAGGTCCAGAAAAGAGAAATCCCTCAAAAGTGCAGGGGACATTCCCTAGGAACAAGGGACCCAATTCATGTTGCTTCCAGAAGCACTGAAGATTTTCACATCAACTATGACGTCCTCAGAATGAACTCTGGGCTCACAGGAAATCCTGACTTCCAGGCCACAGGAGGAGGCACACAAAGCTCTTCAGTCTTTTCTACCAAGACTTGCCCCACAATGCAAATTAGGCCGAAGCAGACTGAGATCTGCTCTCTGCCTGCCTGCTGTCCCCTCTGAGGCACATGAAGTTGGTGCCGACAAAAGGAGCTCCTCCCTTCACATTGGCAGAACTTACTTCTTTTCTCAACCTGTTCCACAAAGTACAAAGACCCGTCCCAAGAGTAACGACTGCCACAACAGGGCTTTATCACTGCACAAAGCAGAGCAGCACAGGGCAGGCAGTTCCAAAGCTGGGTGATTTGGAAGCACAGCTCTCATGTTTACAGTCAACATTGTCCATAAAAAAGGGAAATCTGGTCTGGAAATCCCTGGCAGTGACCAGCTCAGATTCTTCTGGCCAGAGCTTAGATCAAGTTCACTCAGAACCCAGTCATGGGGGAGAAAAGGCGGGCTGTCAATGGGCTCCAAACACACGATTCCCTCCAGGGAGCAGGAGAGAAGGCACAGGGATCTGCCTTCCATGAGCATATTAGAGTGACTGACAGACTGTGTGATCCTGACAGCTGGTAGCAATGAGATGGCTTCCGTCACAGGCACTGACAGTTATATATCTTTGTCAAGAGTGCTGGACAGTTTAGGAAGTGCAACATATCTCACGAAAGCTTTCCACCTACGTGGTACTTACCGGGAATCTCCCCAGGGTGGATATATAAAGGTACAAGGTTCATATCCTGGCTGATGGCTCCCTCACAAAGGGTACTCACAGAGCTTTTCCCTGGTGTGAGCTCTATTAGGGTGAACAAGGACATAGTACATTTTTTGCATTTATAAGGCCTTTCTGTAATATGAAGTTTTTGGTGCTAAACAAGTTTAAGAGATGCAGCTAAAGGACCACCAAAACTGCTGCATTCATGAGGCCTTTCTCCAGTGTGAACTTTTTGGTGCCGAACAAGATGGGAGCTTCTGCTGTAGGCTTTTCCACATTGACTGCACACATAAGGCTTTTCTCCAGTGTGAACCCTCTGGTGTAGAATGAGGCTAGAATTGCGGCTAAAGAATTTCCCACATTCATTGCACTCATAAGGTCTGGCTCCAGTGTGAACTTTCTTGTGTTGAACAAGGTGGGAGCTACTAATATAGGCTTTTCCACAGTCACTGCACACGTAAGGCCTTGCTCCAGTGTGAACTCGCTGGTGTAGAATGAGGCTGGAGTTGTGGCTAAAGCATTTCCCACATTCACTGCATTCATAAGGCTTCGCTCCAGTGTGAATTCTCTGGTGTACAATAAGGTTTGAGCTATGGCTAAAGAATTTCCCACATTCACCACACTCATAAGGCCTTTCCCCAGTGTGGATTTTCTGGTGCTGCACAAGTGTGTCTTTACGGCTGAAGGCTTTCCCACATTCGCTGCACTCATAAGGCCTTGCTCCAGTGTGAATTATCTGGTGCTGAACAAGTGTGTCTTTGCAGCTGAAAGCCTTTCCACATTTGCCGCACACATAAGACCTTGCTCCTGTGTGGACTCTCCGATGTTTAATAAGGCTGGAGTTATGACTAAAGAATTTTCCGCATTCAAAGCATTCATAAGGCCTTGCCCCAGTATGAATTCTCCAGTGCTCAATAAGGTGGGAGCTTTGGCTAAAGAATTTCCCACATTCACTGCACTCGTAAGGCCTTTCTCCAGTATGAAATCTCTGGTGCTGAACAAGCGTGTCTTTACGGCTGAAGGCTTTTCCGCATTCACTGCACTTATAAGGCCTTTCCCCAGTGTGAATTCTCTGGTGCTGAACCAGGTGGGAGCTTCTGCTATAGGCTTTTCCACATTCGCTGCAGTCATAAGATCTTTCTCCAGTGTGAACTTTCTGGTGCTGGACAAGTGTGTCTTTGCGACTGAAGTCTTTCCCACATTCACTGCATGTGTAATGTCTTTTTCCAGTGTGAAATCTCTGGTGCATTTTTAAGTGGGACAGGTGAATGAAAGCCTTTCCACACTCCTTACACAGATGTGATGTTCCTCCACTGTGGATTTTTCTGTGATGAACGAGAGCTGGTTTCTCCTTGGACATATTCGCATGTGGTAGGCATCTAAAAGGTCTCACTTCAGTATGAGTTACCTGGTTCTCAAGGAGAGTGAAGGTGTTCAGGAAGCCTTGCCCATTGTCACTGCAACTGAAGAGCATCCGTTTATCAGGGTCTCCCTGGTGTTGCCCGAGACTGGAGCTGCGTGGGAGAGACTCCGGGAACTCAGTCCTTTTGTACGGACTCACCCCACTGTGAGTGGTCTGGTGCTGGAAGAGACCAGAGCTGTCCAGCAAGTCCATCCCTTCCTCCCTGCAAGTAAAGGGTCTCCCTAACATGTGGACTGCACAGCTCTTCACAAATGAGGCCCCACCATCATCCTCCCAGAAGGGATTCTCTCCAGCATATCGCCTCTGGTGCTGGTAGAAGTTTGCACTGGACAAGAATCCTCTCCCACAGGGGCCACATGTGTACAGTTTCTGCGTGGAGTGTGATCCCTGGTGTTCAGGCAGGTGCAAAATGTCTTTCAAGAGTGGGTCACGCATCTCCCACGGGTGGGCTTCCCGGATAAATGAACCTGACATTGCAGTCCTGATCTGCAGCACTCCTATGGAATTGCTCTGCTCAGAAGGGGCCTCCTCACTGTCTGCTTCACGCCAACAAGCTGAAAACAAAGACATGTTGGTGAAGTACATGTTAACCATGGTGGGAAGCAGTAGCCCCACCACTTATGTATGTGACACACCATGAATGTGTCAATTGATTTGCTGGCAGGATGAGAGAGCCAGGATCAGGATGAGGAAGGACCCATGGTCAGTCCTGGGTCTCTAAAGCTCAAAGTATGGAAGAATCCTAATGATGGGTAAAGACACAATGATGATGCATGCTACAGGGAATAGACGGGACGTCTCCCACTCACTCCTCTACCGAAGGGTTTCAGCAGGGCCTTGGCTGCTGGTGTCAGGAGAACTCTGTGCAGAAGCCTGTGTGACACCCAGAGGTCAGAGAAGTGGGGAAGCAGCCAAGGGATAGAAGACAGGAGCGAAATGAAAAGTGGGCAAAGTGCCAAGAATGGGGAAGGAAAGGCAGAAATGAGGAATTGCCACGGGCCTTGGCAAGAAAAGAGTGGTGAACACAAAGCAGGCTGAAGGAACGATGTGACCCCAGCCCTAACAGGACACTCTCTCCAGTTCCCATTCAGCAGTGCCCAGCCCTCTCTGCGTCTCTCACTGTGGCTGGAGTCAGGTCGGCCCCGTCAGGCACCCAGGGCTTCCTGGCCCTCTTCAAGGGCAGACTACATGGGATCTAGAAGGTGGAAGTTGTACAGGAAACAGAGGGCGGATGAGTGGCCCAGAGAAGAAAACGAAATGCAAGAAGAAGAACCTAAAGGAAGATTTGGCAGAAAAGCCTCGCAATTCCACAAGTAGTGACATGTCACTTCCTGCAAAGCCCGCCCTAGTCAGCCCAGGAAATGGCAGCTAGAGGATGAGGGCAGAACTTGGGACACAGAGGAAGCGTGGAACTGGATAGTCAGGCGGCCCAAACCACACAGACTCTATGGAGCTGACTGGAAAAGCCCTGAACCCCTGAGCCATTCCTGCAAGGCTTTGGGCAGCAGGTTTTGGGACTGCTCAGAGAGGGAGGGGACACTGCACACGGCCCAGCCATGGCACCCATAGCACCTACTCTGGGAACCAAAGAAGGGAGGAAGGAGAGTCACTGATCTGGCAGAACAGAAAGAGCTGCCCCAAGGGAACACGGGAATAACCAAACCCCAAGGACACTGGAGTGGGCATGAGGGTCTGTGGAAGGCAGCCTCTAAGATGGCCCCCTGGAATGAATGCCTCCCACTACTCCTGTCCTCATCTAAGCGTCTTCCCTTGATTGCAGGCTGCACTGAATGACCCATCTCTAAGGAACAGAATATGGCAAAAGTGATGGGATGTCACTTCCAGGTCAAGTCAGAAAAAGACTAGTTTCCATCCATCTCTCTTGCTCACTTGCTCAGAGACACGGCAGCTGCCATGTTACGAGGCACACGACAGAAAGGCCAACATGACAAGGAGCCGAGGGAGGCCTTTGCCAATAGCCAGTGAGGAACTAAAGCTCACAGTTAAAGAAGTCACAAGAAACTAAATCTTGCAAACAACCACATGAATGAGTTTGTAAGTCTGGATTCTTCCCAAGACTGGCCTTCACATGACAACACAGCTGTGGCCGACGGCTTGACTGAAACCTCATGGGAGACTCTGGGCCAAAAGCACCCAGCTGGCTGTGACGAGACTCCCCATGCACTGAAACTGAGATAATTCATCTTTTCGTTGTAAGTCACTAAATGTTGGCATAATTTGCTACGTAGCAACAGATAACTGAAACAAGGACTTACCCAGTGAGGCCACATGCGCGAAGTTCTCCAGCATCACATCACGGTACAGGAGTCTCTGAGCCTTCTCGAGGAGCTCCCACTCCTCCCGGGAGAAAGACACGAACACATCCTCGAAGGTCACACAGTCCTGCCACCATGGGGACAGTTGAGCCCATGGGCAACAGGACTCCCCAGCATATCCATTCACATACCCACTCCCTGGTCCCTCACCTCCTCACCCTCCCAACCCAGAGGAGACAGCAGGCTCGACACCGCTGGTGCCCACTCTCTCCTGGTGTCCTTCTGATCACCCTGTGCAGCCCAGAGCAGAAGGAGGCAGGGAGGTGGACAGATACTACGTAAGCTATGTGTCTGGCATGAAGAGCACCAAACCCTCTCCTGCTGGCCGGTTCTCCTGGTGTCCAGCCCACACCTCCCAGACACAATCTGAAAGTGGTCAGTTCATACTCCTCCCAACATGTACACCACTCTTTGAATCACCCCTTCCTCATATCTGGGACCCCCACCACCACTGACAACCTTCTGGTCCACATTATATGCAACTGCAAGACACCTCCTGCCATGCCACTCTGCACATGGTGTCCAGGAAGCGCTCAGGTCTTCATGACAGCCACCACCGCCACCCAGCTGCCTAGCAAGAGAGCCAGTCCTCAGGGCCCGGTTTCAACTTTGTTTTTAATGGCATTGTCACCATTACTTGAAGATACTCCCTCCTAAATTTAACCCACAGCTCCACCCCATTCCAGACTTTCACTGCCACCTTTTGAATTTGACCAGAACCCCTCCTCGGAACTAAAAATCTGTGTCCAGCTGGATGCCTCAACTAAGGGGTCCCTGGGACTTCTTACACTAACATAACTCCTGATACAGCCACAGTAGTAATTACTCCTGCCACCAACTGTCCCATCTCACTTGATGGCACTTCCGTCACCCTACCAGCTAAAGCCAAAAAAGCCCTGGGGTCACTTATGACACTTCCCTTTCTCTCATTCACATTTCACATCAGAAAAGCCAGTCACCCTACTTAAAAAACAGACACAAAATGCACCAACTTCTCTCACTCCCACAGCCGCCCCACTCGCCCAGCCCCCATCAACACTCACGGGGACCACTGCAGTAGGCTCCTCCATGCTCATGCCCGTCCTCTGTTCTCAACCACAGAGCAGCCAGAGGGAGCCCGTTAAGATCTGAGCTACAGCACCTCTCTCTTCTGCTCCAAATGTTCCATGTCTTCACCCACCCCCAGAATAGAGGCCCAGCTCCTCAGCCTCCCATTCCTGCCTGACTCCTGGCCCGGTTCCCAACAGACATAATTCAGACCTGTGGTTCCTTGAGGACTCTCAACTTGATCTAACCTCCAAGCATTTGCACATGCTGTTCCTGAGCCTAAGATACCTCTCCAGTCCTCATCCTATTGGCTGTCAGAAGTAGGACCCTCTGCATATAACTCGTGGCCTAGATCCAGGATGCTGCAATAGAAATGACCCACTTTTAGGGCCCAGCACACTCAAGTGCACAGCGAGGGAGAGGTGAAGAGTCACAGAATATCACTGTCCCGTCAGAAAATCCGGTTGGCCCTACTTAGAAGTATATACAAAATGCATACACTGTTCTAACCTCCACGGCCACCACTCTGGTCCAACCACCACCAACACTCACCTGGACTACTGCAGTAGGCTCCATCATGGTCTCCCTGCTCACTCCCATGCCCCTCAATCTTTCCACTCTGTAGCCAGACGGAACCTGTTAACACCTAAGTCAGATCACCTCCCTTCTCTGTTCCAAACCTTCCACGGCTCCCACTGCCACCACAACAGAGGCTCAGCTTCCGAGACTGCCATTCCACGCCTGATCTCTGACCGACTGCCCTCTGTTCTCACCAGACAGGAGAGAGACCTGCGGTTCCCGGAACACTCCGAATCCATTCTCACCTCCAAGTATGTGGACCCGATGCCTCCTGCGCCTTGGAAACCCTTTCACACCTCATCCCATCGATCCTGGGAATGGCAACCTCGCCATCTATCCGCCGGGGGTGATCACCGCCCTCCAGCGCCTTCATACTCAACAGGACGGAGCGATGAGGGCGAAGTGATCAAGTCTAGAACACACCCTCCCCTACATCCGAGTCGTGAGGGCTGGAGGGCCCCTCCACTCACCTGAGCCCGGTCCGACAGCGCCGCGGCCGCCATGGGATCCTGTGAGCAGAACGGAGCCGTGAGAAGCGGGCGAACGGGCGGACCCGGCGGGCTCAGCCGAGACCCCCACCTCCACTGGGCCTGGTGCACTCGGACCGACTGTCGCCTCCGTCCCCAGTCTCCCCCGTGTAAACAGGCTCAGGCTCACGGGTCCGCCTGCGGGGCCGCCGGGGACCGAGGGCGGGTGCGAAGGCCGCGGAAAGAGCGCAAGCCCCGCGGACAGCTCCGCGCAGGGTCGCCCGACCCACCACGGGGATCAGGAATCTTAACAAAGGCGCGGACGGAGGTCGTGTCCTTTTCCCCGCCGCGGGCGAAACGCACCAGCCCAGGACTCGGAGCCTCCGCGGCCAGTGTGGACAGTCCAGGCACAGGAAAAACACGTCACGCGCAGGACGCCGGAAGTCCCGCCTCTGCCGCCCGGACACCGGGGAACGCCCGTCGTGCGGGCTGTCACTGGCGCTAAGGCGATGCGCCGCGCTCAGACCTCTGGGTAACGTAGTTTATTCTCCGCGTTCGCTAAGCGACGTTCGGGTTTCCGGTTCTCCATGACAACCGCGAAGCGGCTGGGCGGGAAGGCCAGCAGGGAGAGAAAGATCCGGGAGAAAAGTCCTAAGTGCCAGAGCTCCTATTAAAGGCGACGCGCTCAGATATCCGTGGTCACCTGGCAGAATGCCACTTCCTAAGAGGATTCCAGCATGTGACCCATTCTTTTATTTGTTGTATTACTCTTTTTTGAGGTTATGATAGTTTACAACATTGTCAAATTTCAGTTGTATATTATTATTTGCTAGCCATCTTATAGGTGCACCCTTCTCCCCTTGTGCCCAGCCCATCCCCTTTCCCCCTGGTCACCACTTGTCTGTTCCCTTTGTCCATGTGTTTATCTTCCACATACCAGTGGAATCATACAGAGTTTGTCTTTCTCTATCTGGCTTATTTTGCTTAACATAATACCCTCAAGGTCCATCCATGTTGTTAATGGGAGGATTTTATGCTTTTTTATGGCTGAGTAGCATTCCATTGTATATGTATACCATGTCTTCTTTATCCAATCATCAGTCGATGGGCACTTAGTTTGTTCCCACGTCTTGGCTATTGTGAATAATCCTGCAATGAACATATGGGTGTGTGTCCCTTTGAATTGCTTATTTCAAGTTCTTTAGATAGATACCCAGTGGTGGCATGGCTGGGTCTTATGGTATTTGTATTTCTAACTTTTTGAGAAATCGCCATACTGTTTTCCATAGTGACTGCACTAGTTTTCATTCCCACCAACAGTATGTAAGGTGGTATTTTAGTGTAGTTTTGCTTTGCATTTCTCTGATGATCAGTGATGATGAGCATCTTTTTATGTGCCTATTGGCCATCCATATATCTTCTTTGCAGAAATGTCTGTTCACATCCCCTGCCCTGATCAGGTTGTTTATTTTTTGTTGTTGAGTTGTGTGAGTTCTTTATATGTTATGGAGATTAGCCCTTTGTCAGATATATGATTTGCAAATATTTTTTCCCAGTTGGTGGGTTGTCTTTTCATTTCAATCCTGTTTTCTTTGCCTTTTAGAAGCTCTTTGGTCTGATGAAGTCCCACTTGTTTATTCTCTCTATTGTTTCCCTTGTCTGAGAAGACCTGGTGACCAAAAAGATCCTTTTTTTTTTTTTTTAAAGATTTTATTTTTTCCTTTTTCTCCCCAAAGCCCCCCAGTACACAGCTGTATACTCTTCGTTGTGGGTCCCTAAAGCTGCGGCATGTGGGACGCTGCCTCAGCGTGGTCCGATGAGCAGTGCCATGTCCGCGCCCAGGACTCGAACCAATGAAACACTGGGCCGCTTGCAGCGGAGCGCGCGAACCTAACCACTCGGCCACGGGGCCAGCCCCCCAAAAAGATCCTTTTAATGCTGATGTCAAAGAGTGTACCGCCTATATTTTCTTCTAGAAGTCTTACAGGTTTTAGGTCTTACCTTTCAGTATTTGATCCATTTTGAGTTTATTTTTGCGAATGGCGTAAGAGAATGGTCTACTTTCATTCTTTTACATGTGGCTGTCCAGTTTTCCCAACACCACGGCTGATCCATTCTTTAATCCTGGGAGAGCCGCTCACCTCTCTGAGCTTTGGGGAGTGAGATTTAAATTAAACAATGAATATACCTCGCTCGTGGGGGCCTTTGTGTAGCAGTATTAAATGCTCCTCTAATTCCTTCATCCAAAATTTGGGTCCCTGATTTGGGAGTTTCAGCATCACCTGTAGGTCATGGACCTAACCTACACCTTCTGACACAGAAACTCTGGGATGGAGCCCCGGCTCAAGTTTGAGAGCTGGGGCTCTCTTTAAAAGTTATGACCACCCTTTTCCCCAAAGGTCCAATAACTAAAATGGGAAACTACTACACCTACTTCGTGGGAAGTGAGATGTAAAGTTCTTAACACAGGGCCTAGAGCTAAACACATACAAACTATTATGTATGATTTATTTTTTTTAAAGATTGGCACCTGAGCTAACTTCTGTTGCCAATCTTTTGTCTGTTTGTTTGTTTTCTCCCCACAACTCCCCAGTACATAGTTGTATGTTTTAGTTGTAGGTCCTTCTGGCTCTGCTGTGTGGGACACTGCCTCAGCATGGCTTGATAAGCAGTGCTAGGTCCACACCCAGGGTCCCAAACCCGTGAAATCCTGGGCCACCAAAGTGGAGCATGTGAACTTAACCACTTGGCCACTGGCCGGCCTCCAAGCTATTATTTTTATTATTTGTCGTCACCATAAGGTTCTCACATATACTGCTATAGGGGGATGTCAGAGACCTTCTTTGTAGAATCACTGATGATATTTTTCCAAATATAAACTACAGTCACTCCCTGACTCAGCGAGTAGCATCACAAGTAATGGTTAACATTTTCACATAAATCACACCTATACACATTTAGGCTCATTCAAATTTTTTAAAATATCACATGCAGGAGGGTTTCACAACTTACAGGTAGGTCCATTGTCCAAGGGACACATTCTTATAGGCCAAATGATTCAAAACATGCGACTATTAACACTAATTGCCTTTAGGCTTAAGTGGACAGTGGAGTTAACATGGTTTCATATCATGGTTTATTTTGTAAGATACAGAGTAATAATTCATGTCTAATTCTCAGGAACAAAGTCTCAAACTCCTCCTGCCTTCCCCCCTGGCTCGTAGGGCAGGCAGCCCCAGGTACAAATGTATGATCATCAGATGGCCCAGCCTGACAGCCAGTGGCTCAAGGTCACCGGGTCTGGTCCTCCTCCTCCTTCTCAAGATGCCATCTTCCCGTCATCTGAACATGCAGCTCCCAAGGGAGCAGTAGTTCCTGGGGAGGTAAGAAAACTGGAACCACTGAGGCCCAAGGAGGCAACCCCAGGAAGGAGCACAAATGAGAAGAGAAAACAAGGAATTTTCACAACCACTCCAGTCCATATTTCCTTGGACAGAGTTCATTAGCACGGTACCAAATTAAACGTAAGGGAGGCTGGCACATGCCTATCCACTTGAGTGTCCAGAAGGAGAAAATAGTATTGGTGTACACCTAGCCTGTTTCTAGCACAATCCAGCAATATAATCATCAGATACCTATTTTATTATTCATCATCTACATTCTACCGTCTTATATACCCTTGTTAATATGACAACCAAAAGCCTATCCATTCACTGATGCACCTCATTGGTAGGATCTCTAGGCGATGACTTCTGCAACTCAGGTCCAAAGATTGTTTCTGACAGCCCAGGAAGCAATATATATATATATATATATATATACACACACACACACACACCTCCACTCACACGCAATATAAAGTTATGTGTCAAGGACACAGTGGAAGGACATATTGAAACTGCTGAAGAAATAACTGCCAACAGGTTTCTATACACAACGAATGCATCTTTGAAGAAAGAGTGTAAAATAAGACTGAGATAAAAAATGAGTAATTTGATGGAAAAAAAACCACCAATACAAATAGCACTTTAAGGATTCTGCTGAAGGTTGAAGGAAACTGATCCCAGGTAAATGGTCTGTGATGATAGCAGGAATTAGAATCTGTGAGAGGGGTGTTTGTGGAATAATATGACTACTACTTACCTGTATAAAACATTAATATATTTTTTTTAGAGACACAATGATGGAAGTACCATGCATATCCTCAGCAGCACAGAAACTGAGATGAGCAAATTAGTGTTTAAATCTCATGTTTTCCAGAAGGAGAGCAAAGATATTAATAACTTTATACTCTAATGTGTTAAATAAGTGTGTTGTCATGTTCTGCTTAAACACTAATGAACAGAATCAGAGTGTATACTCTACAAATTTGAAGAAGGAAAATTGAAATGTGAAGAAATAATTGATAGAAAGTCTTTTAAAAGGAAGTAAGAACTAGTGAAGCAGAGAAAAGCACACACCCACCCACAGAGGATGTATTGAAACCCAAATATATCAGCCATTTCGTGAAATGAGTATGGAATAAATGCTCACATTAACAGTCAGCAGTAATTTGTAATGAGGTAACATTGGATCAGTAATTTTTGATATATTAAAAATATCCAAAAATAGTGTGCATACAAGAGACAAAGTCTAAAATATAACATCACAGAAATATATCAAATAGGTTTGGGAAAAGACAATTGCTACAATTATTTTAAAAATAACACATGAAAGCATGTGAAATACGTATTTACATCAGAAAAAAATAATTTTAAAAGAGAAAGCATCACCAAGAATATATACTATTCTAAACGTGTATGTAATTTATAACACTGACTATAATTACATAAGGCAACAAGTTCAAAATAACAAGGATAAAGATACAAATCCATGAATATATCAGGCATGTTTACGTGAGCCATCTCAGTGATTGGTAGAAACAGCCAATATCAAACTGTTAAAGTTCTAGTGGATTCACACACCAAGATTGATAAACCTGGCCTAACAGATACATATGCATATAAATACAGAATGTTCATACTTAGCACAAACTGAATGCTGACAGAACTATCCATATACAAGACCATAAAAAGCACCTTCAATTTAATAGAATGAAATAAGACAAAGAATGCAATCAAGACATCAATCAACAACAGAGATTAGTGGGAAATATGAAAAAGTGTGTTTGGAAATTAAGTTACAAAATACCAACTAACCTA